GTGCTCTAAATGACTTTGGATGAACAAAATAATATCATTGGTTGGTTTGTTTGGTCGTTTCAAATTGACCGTGTAAGTTTTGTATAATTCTATGTCTGAAAATGGGTGTACATTTTTTTAGTGTTTGGAGTTTTGGGGGGCTTTAAATAACTTTGGGTTGACAAAAAAATATTGTTGGTTGGTTCGTTTGGTCATTTCAAATTAACCGTGCGAGTTTCGTGTAATTCTAAGTCCAAAAGTGGATGTACATTTTTTTAGTGTTTAAGACTTTTGGGGCCCGAAATGACATTGACTGGACAAAATAATATCGTTGGTTGATTTGTTTGATTATTTTGGATGAACTGTGTGAACTTTCTCAAAATTTTAGTTTAAAAATGGATTTATATTTTTTTATCGTTTAAGTACCACTCATATCTTTTAATTGTTATTCTGACAAAATATATCTCACATGTCATATTTTTGCGATTTTTGTCATCCGTAGCAAATCTCACTCCACGCGCGTGGGATTGTATCCGTTTTGAAATTGACATGTGGTCAGAGGACCAAAATTGCAAAAAAGTGATACATATTGAATATATTTTGCAAAAATGATACTCCCTCCGTCCCATGTAATACGGATGTATTAGTGTAGACACGGGAATTTAGGTAAAGTATAATTAGTATATAATTAAGAAGTGTATTAGTAAAAATAATTATTATTTAGTAAAAATAATTATAGATTAAGATTAAGATAAGTAAATAGTTTAACTAAAATTAAGAAAATTATAAAATTTAAAATTTAAAATGAGATTAAACTGCATAATTATATTTCCAAAAATAAAAATGACAAGTTATGTGGGACGGACGAAAATAGAAAATAGAGACAAATTATGTGGGACGGAGAGAGTAATTAGTAGCGATATCCATTGCAATTTTTTCTTAGTATTTATAAATTATTTGTACTATAATAAAACACTAATATACTTTTGAGCGGGGTACACGAAAAAATAGTATAAAATACATTAAGTTGAACGGATCGAGTAATATTTTAATACTTTTATAAAAGTAAAATTAGTTAAAATTTTTATTAGATTAATAATAGTATAATTTTTAGACTAAAGTAGAGTGGGTGTAAAAAATATGTAAGGTCTGTTAGCAACAATAGTATAAATAGATTTTTTTAAAAATAAAAAATATTTTCGTTTCAATTAAAAATATTATTTTTATAGATTTTTTATATATCTTATTAATAAATATCTATTATAAAAAATAATCACATATAAATACCAAAATATTTTATTTTTTTATATAAATTATAAATATATTATTATACAAATATTAATTTATATATAAAAGATAAAAGATAAAAATTTCAAATTATTTTATACACTTTTATTAACTAATAAAATACTAATAAATCTTAATTTACTATAAAAATCTAAAAAGGTAGATTCGAGAGTGCGACCGGAAGAGTATAAAATAAAATAAAATGAAAATAAAAACAAAAGTTTTCATTAAATATGGTATAAACACATTTCTTATGACAAGTTGAAATAGTAAATTAAAATACTTTTATGGGCAGAAAAAATATATTATCCTATTATAGTATGATATTGTATTAAAATTTTTATTTATTTAAAAATATACTTTTGAACCATTTATTTTTTTTATTTATGGTTGGACCAAAAATTTTTCAAAACATTAGTTATATACCTTGCCAAAAAAATAATGAGAATATCAAAATTCCAATATAATATGATATGTACCAAACTTTTTTGGTATATAATTCGATATTCTTTGTATATATCGTAATCTAAAATTGTTTTCGTATGTACCAAAATATTCACTCCGTTCAGCGGTAAAGTATACATTTACTTTTAACTCAAAATTTAAAAAATAATACTCCCTCCGTCCACAAACTAATGTCCTACTTTTCTATTTGGAACGTCCAACAACTATTGTCCTATTTCTTTTTTTTAAACACAAATTTTACATTTTTACCCTTCATTCATTTATTCTTTTAATCTCTACCATACATTTAAGGGCAAATTTGTCCATTCATAACAAAAAGACAATCACCTAAAAAACCGTGCAAATATACTTTAGAATAATAGAAATTGGACAGAGGAAGTAATATTTTAACTGTGGTCGGTAGTTGAAATAGTTATAAAGACAATTTTGCCTCTGTTCTTTTTTATATAAAAATAATTATTTGATGATAAAATATGAATATTTGTAATTGGACAATCTAAAATAAATATATGTTCTTTCTTGCTCGACACAGAGAGATTATATACTATTTTGTATTAGGTATTCAGTGTACCAATTTTCTTAAAATTATGAAATTATTTTTTTGCTCAATATGAAACATTATATACCAATATGATATGAATGATTTAGTATATCAAATTATCAATACAACATAAATATAAATATATATATATATATATGTTATATCAAATTTTTACTATATCAAAATTTTAATACAATATCGATTTATTATTATTATTATCATTTTTTATTTTTTTTTTTTTGCATGTTGAAAGATTCAATAGGGTAAACGAGTTTATTCAATATTTTCTATCCTCCATCGGCTAAAATTATATAAGTTCATTCGGGCATGAAAATTAATATATAATAACAATTTAATATTAAATAAGATAAGTAAAAAATGAAATATTATGAAAATCTTATTAAATGGGTGATAGAAAGATAATTGAGTAAGTAAAAAAATATTAAATTAATTAGTCCCTTTGTTCTACTTATTGTGTTTATGCTGCTATTTTTGTTCGTCTCACATCTCATGTTATTTTTCATTTTTTGAAAAATAATTACATACCTTAGTCTCATTTTTTATTTTTTATTTTTAATTTTTAATTTTTTTATTTTAATTAGACTAATTAGTTATTTTAATCTTAATCTACAAATTATTTATATTATAGGATAATTATCTTTACTAATATATTTTTAATTATTTACTAATTATTTTTATTCTAAATTTTCGTATTCAATCATCTCACGAAAAGTCTTACTGGAGATCACTAATTTTAAATTTCTCAGTAACATGAATACAGAAAGTGGATTGGATGGAGTATTATTTGTTAAAATAATAATAATAAAATTATTTATTAAAAAAATTATATATATTTTTCGTCTCAATTCAAAGTATCTTTTTATTATTGTTGTCCGTTTTACAAAAAATATTATTTTTTTAATAAAAATAATTATAGACACTGGTATAAAAATATTTTTAACTTTTATTTACATTACAAATATATGACTACAAATACAATTATATACAGAGAGTCAAAAGATGAAAAGGTAAGACCTCTTACGTACTTCTACTAACTAATAAAATACTACTCCCTCCATCCCGCCACATATGGCATTTTCATTTTTTCTCTATCTTAGGAAATTTGATTTTCTATTTTTAATAAATTTATATATTGTAAATATACTTAACAAATATAAATAAATTTAATTAAATTTTTAAATTATTACAAGTATGACTACTCAAAAAATAAACAAAAACTTTTATCTATATTTAAAACTTTTCATTTTTTATTAAATTGGTTTTAAGTTAATTATAAATAAATAAATATATTTTTATTCATTTGTATTATATAAAATTATACTCCCTTCGTTCCGAAAAATTGAATCATTTGATTAAGGACACAGTATTTAAGGTAAAGATGTTTAATTAGTTAATAATAATTAATTATGATATTATTTTTATATAATTAATAATATTTATTGTTTGAAAGTAAATTTAATATACATGATTAAAAAAAATTAAAATATATGTTTAAATATTTAAAAATTATATAGTAATTAAAAATATATATAATATGCATATCATTTTGTAGAGAATAAATTTTCTATAATACAAGTAAATAAAAAAATATTTTTGTTTATTTATAATTAACATAAATCAATTTTATAAAAAATGTATAGTTTTAAATATAGATTAAAAAATATTTATTTTTTTGAGGATAGATATAAAAATAAAGGAGTTTTGAGTGGGTCCTATGTCTTTTATGATGTTACTATATGTTATGTAGTTAACTAAGTTGATTTATATTTATTAAATATGTTTAGATTTGGAGTGTGTTTGTTTGGGGGTTTGGATTTTGAGTTGGGATTTGAGCAGTAAAAATTTTGAATTTGAATAGTTGTATGATGTGATATAAATAAGTGTTGATGTGATGTTTTAAATATAAAATTAATTTTTAGTATAATATATAAAATGAAAAATAAGTGTTTTATTTGATGTTTTTGGAGAAAAAAATGGGATGAATAGTAGAAATCTAATCCAATCCCCCAAACAAACACACCCTTATTTTTACCAAATATAAAAATGTGTCAATTGTTACGGGACAGACAAAAATGAAAATAATGTCAATTGTGGTAGAACAGAGGGAGTATTATTTACAAAATAATATTACATATACTTTATTAAAATATAATTATAAAAATATTTAAAATACCAACATCACTACTCATATAAAAAATAATAAAATAATATCATAACTTATTATTAATAACTTATTAATCTACATTGCCTAACATACTGTATTCTAACAAAAAGATTCATCTTTACTAGGACATAGAGAATACTTTATCTGTCCGCCTTATTTACCTTTTGCGTAATTGTAATTAATATTAAAAATATTCTTATATTTGTATAATTTTTTTTGTACAAATATTATTCAATTAGTATTATAAGACTTGCAAATTTTTTTTAATTTGTACTACGTCGCAAAACGTAAATGAGACATTAGAGTCGGACGGAAGATAGTACTATTATTTTTTAATTTATTACAAAACCTCAAATAAATAAGGGTATATTTCTTTAACATAATTTTTTCAAATTTTACTATTTAAACTTTGCATTTTTCAAATAAAATATATTTTTTTCTCTCACAAAATATCCCATTAAACATTATTTTCCATATCAAACTTAAACCAATTTTTGTTCCATACTCATCAATCAATAGTCGCACATACTTGTAAACAAGTCAACAGTAGAGGAAGTAGTGACTAGTGAGTAGTGCTTCTGCTACTTCCATGTCATATTCTACACTCACTCTCGCTCTTCAAATCAACTCATTGCTTCTCACTCCACCCCATCTTAACATAATTTGCCACTCTCTCTCTCTACTCTCTCTCTCCAAAACAAAATATTTACACAGTTTAATTAATTTCTAGTATTATTAATTTGTTGTGGTTTATATTATCAATTGAGCTGCGGCGTCCATGGCGGAACCGCCGGCACGTGTCAAATTCACCGAGCACGTGATCACCACCGACAAAATCACTCCCCATCGGAAATCCGCCGACCACCGGAAAATTGTCAGAATAGTCCTCACCGACGCCGACGCCACCGATTCCGACGACGATGATAACGGCTTCTTCGTGCAGAGGGTCAGGAGGCACGTGGAGGAGATCAAGTTCACCTCGCCGGCGCCGGCGCCGGCGTGTCTGATCGGGAACCGATCGGAGGGCAGGAAGAAGGGACGGAGCTCAGACCGCCGGGGAAAGTTCCGCGGCGTGAGGCAGCGGCCCTGGGGGAGATGGGCGGCGGAGATCCGCGACCCGACCCGGGGAAAACGGGTCTGGATCGGGACCTACGACACTGCCGAGGAGGCCGCCGCTGCCTATGACAGGGAGGCGGTCCGGCTGAAGGGTCCGGCGGCGGTGATCAATTTTCCGGCGTCGGACGGCGGCGGGGCCGCCGCCCTGTCGTCTCCGAAGTCGGTGCTCTGCTACGGCGAGACGACGGAGACGCTGTTCGATGATCTGATCGGCGGCGAGTTTGACTGGACGGCGGTGAGTTTGCCGCTCGCCGGAACGCCGTGGAGCGGCGGCGCCGGGGAATTCGGCGAGTTTGACTTAGACGACTTTTTGAATGATTTTAGATGACGTGGTGTGATCCTATCCGTTGATTTGGGGATGACGTGGCAGCCAGGGCGGGAAATATCTGTTGTGTTGCTTGCAGATTATTACTACATACATCGATTTTGTTTAGAATTGTCAATTTATATTATTATTATTTTTATTTCTATTTCCCAAGGATGTTATTATATTATTATTATTTTTTTTTGATGTATGTATTTTAATGCTATATTATAAAAAGATTGTTGTAACTAAATTTGTCTGTGATAGGGAATTGAGTAAAGTGTTGAGGTTATTTGTTGTTATCTGGGTTCCAAAATTGAAGAAATATCTTTGATACTATGATATAATAATAATAATAATAATAATAATAGATTGGGCCCATATTTATTGTTAGTCAGTGTTTTGTGGTATGTTTTTGAGTGGTCGGGACACTACGTGGCAGCTAAACAGGGATGAGCATTCGGATTTTGATTCGAATATTGTCAAATTCGAACCGATTTGAAAATCTAAAATTTTTAAAAAAATTAATCAGAATCGAACCGAAATTCGAAAATTCAAATTCGAACTAAAAAATTCGAACCAAACCGAAAAATCTAAAATTTTAAATATTTTTAATTTATAAATTTCTTTAATATTTTATTATTATTTTATAATATTAAATATATATAATATATAAAAAGTAAATATATTAATATATAATTAATAATTTTGAATTTTTTATATTAAAATATAATATTTTCTAATAAAATATTAAATATATATAATAAAAAAATATATTAAAATGTTATATTTCAAATTCAATTTTTTTATTATTTAAATATCAATTCAAAATCCAAACTCCCAAACAAAAATGCCCAAAAATTATTGTGTTTGTTTATATTTTCTTTTACATTAAATCACCTTTAATAGTACTCTTTATAATATAGTTTTTTCTTTAAATATAACATTAAATATGTATTAATAGAGATTGAGTCGGTGCTAAACCAACTTCTATATATTTTCCGTCAAATTTTTATGCTCGTTTCAATTAGTTTGACATCGAGGCTCGATATGTCCGTACTTATTGTTGTTTTGGTATCAACGTGTGACATTCCGAAGATATTTTTGAGGTGTTACATTACCCTAAAATGTGAGGCATTCGAACTAATGAGAAATTTAAGAGTGTAAGACAAGAGATAATACAAGTAGAGAATATATTTATTTTATCTTGTTGTTGATGTTTTGAAAAATAAAATATTGAATAAGAAAAATCAAAGATAAAGTTAAATTGTTAATTTGTATTAGTTACAATTATAATGTTATTAGTTACATTTCTTCTAGTTTTCTATTTTTCCTTTTCAAAATTTGTTATTTGTAAGTTTAAATTTAATATAAGAGGTTTGATGTTTTAGAATATATCATTTTGTAGAAATCATAGTGAAGAATGCTCTTGAATATGTTTGCATTGAAATTCTCGTTGAAAATATGATGCTAAATGAGAAAATAAAATTTTATATTCTACCACGTCGGTTTCAAATAAGATGCAATATTTGATTTCAACATAAGATTTTAGGTAGGTAGTATAAAGTACACTTTCATCCCATATAATTTGTCCATTATTTTTATTTTGGTACGTCCCACATGATTTGTCATTTTTTTTAAAAAGTAATTATACACTTTAATTACATTTTAAATTCATAATTATAAATTTTCTATTTTAATTCAACTATTTAGTCATGTTAATCTTAATCTATAATTATTTTTATTATATTATAATTTTTTTACTAATACACTAGTTAATTACTTATTAATTACATAATATCTAAAACTCTGTGTCCCAACTAAAATTGAACAAATTAGTTAGGACGGGGGCATAAGATAATTTAAAATTAGGTAATGTGATGGAGAGGAGAGTGTATATATTTTTTGATTGACAATAGTCTATTGTACTAAGACCATCTCCAACTCATTCCTTCATTTTTGCGGTAGCTAAAGTAAAAATGCAGTTGTTGATCTACAATAATTTTACTCCAACCATAGACTTCAATTTTTTCACACTAAAAAGTATATTCCCTATATATTCATCTTTTATATTATTTTATATAACTTTTTATATTTATAAATTACACCTCAATTTTAATTTATTTTTACAATATAACCCAAATATATATAATTACACATTATTTTTAAAAAATTATATAATTATATATCACTTTTCGAAAGGTAAAATTATATCACTTTTAAAAAAATAAAATTATACATTATTTTAAAAAAATAAAATTATATCATTTTTCCAAAAATAAAATTATATATAATTTTTCAAAAAAAATAAAATTAAATATTATTTTCTTAAAAAATAAAATTATACAATATATCCCAAAAAAATAATAAAAATACACAAACTCCACTCCAAAAATTTTTGGAGTGTAGTGTACAGTGTTACTCCATTTTGGAGTAACAATGTAGCGTGCTACAAAAATAAGGGGGAATTTAGGAGTGGATTGGAGCCCCTCTCTAGTGGGTTGGAGTTGCCCTAAATGAAGTACAAAATGAATGTACAATCTTGGGTAAATAGATCATCATTTCATCAAATAGTTCATACATAAAAAAGAAAAGTAATCTCCGATGAAAGTTGATTTTTTTCAGTTAATTTCGCACGTTATGAAATTATAGTTTGGTTTACATAACTAGTTTGTGTTATTGTAATTTTTAGCTATTTGTGTTTTTTTTTAAAAATATATATATATACAATTTTTAGTTTTTATTTTATTTTTTTTAGCTAATTTTTCTTCATTGTCGACATAATTTTTTGAATTCACTTAACTCCCCGAAAATATTGGATTACATACAAGACAACGGTGAAAAGATTGCCATGCTATTTTAAAACCATTATTTTATATAATTCAACCAATAACTAGATAAGAAGAAAGTTTCAAATATATTTTTCTAATCATACCTCACAAAAAAATACTAATTCTTGTGGTGCATTGACTAATGACAAGTGGGAAAAAAATTTTGAATAGATTTTTTCCAGTCATATCTTATAGTTAAATGTCAATTTAGATAGTAATGGTAGCTTTATATATGATTTATTTAAATTGCCATATTACAACTAGTGTCTTTGAGCAGTTTAAAGATCGAAAGATTTTGCATGAAGAAAGAAAAAATTAAATGTGTAGTTAGTTTTGCAAAATACTAATGAAAAAAATGGACATTTTGTGACTTTATATTGAAAAAAAATTTAACATTTTAAGAAATTAAAATAATAATAAAGAGAATATATTTAGACGATGATCAATGCGGAAACAATGATTTTCTAAACAATGATTTGCTAAATAGTTTTAACATTGTCAAATGACTATTTTTTTTTTGTATGAACAAGTTGTATTGATTGTGTCTAAAAGTAGATAAATTATATTGGTTGTATTGTTATTTTTGTAAAAAGAGATATTTTAGTTTGACCTTTTTTTTGGATGGTTGTATTAGTTGTTTTTGTGAGTGGATGTTTGTATTCGCAGAATTTAGACAAAATGTATTAGCTATAATTTTAAAATTTTATTGGTTATTTATGAAACCATACATTTGTTAACTATAGTTGTAAGTCTGTTAATTGATATTTCAAATATGTTATAAAGTTATTTATGTTTGTTATATATTATGTGTAGCATATATATATATTCGGAAGAATATGTCTATATCTAAAAGTTGTTATGATTGTGAATTTATGGTAGGCATGCCACTAAATTTAATAATACCCTTGCTAATTTTACTTGTTATTTCAACAAATATTTACTTTTGATTTGATAGTTTGGGATTGAATCATATCTTTTAGCATTGTTTATATGCTCCTAAATCATCTAATTAGATTATATCAATATCTAAAAAAAAATAGTGATGATTATAACTGACCTTTTGTATTACTATTCAAATTCACAAAAATTAGGAGCATAAATAAATTATATTACCCAGTAACATACAATTAAATTTAAGTGAAGGTTTTCAATTATTTTTAAGAGTAATTAAAGACTTTAATTTGTTATATCTATATATTTTAGTGTGTAAATTGAGTTAGAAAATTATATAGATCTATAAATGCTCTTATAATCTAGCTAGCTACCTTGTCATTCATATCATAAATATTTAAACAACTAAGATGCAAGATAAACGAAGTGGTTATAAGTTGTTTTAGATATCTGTTGTCTATTAATGTTTTATAAATAGTAATACAACACACGATGTATTGATATGTTCATCAGCTCTTTAACGCCACAAGAATTATATTAGTTCTTAATTCTGAATTTTAACAAGTAAATAAATGAATGAATATTTTGTCAAGAACTGTATGTATGGATAAGTGAATGGGAAGAGTATTCAAATGAACAAAAGAAAAATATATTTTATACATAATATAGATGCCTAAAATTCCAAAATCAAACAAATCCCACATTGTTGATAGGAAAGAAATGATGATTCTAAAGTACTAGAAAAATTGCAACTAAAACCACTCTTATATCAAAAAGTAAGAAAATTATTTGAAAAATATCTCAACAAATTAATCTCAACTATACGGTTCTAAAATATTGTATCCTTAGAAGCTCAATATATATGCAAAAATATTATAAAGTTATAATAACTATCAGCATATATATATATATATATATATTTTTTTTTATGAAGTAACAACAATTTAAATAATAGAACGAAAAACTCCAAAATTGTGATTTATAAACGCTGAATATAATCTACTAAAATCATAATATCACCATATATACAAAATTGAAAAACTAATAATCTAATGCACCATCATTGATTATCAACTTGAAATTCAGTAATTGTCAATTACATAACTCTGGATGTTGGAGATCATATATGGAAGATTTTTTTATTCATAAGAACAAAACAATATTTTAAATTTAGGAAGATTCTTATATTCATTATGAAAAAACTAATTAGGGGGGAGGGGGAGATCATCGGTTGAGAGATTAACATGTCTATCCAATCTAATCAATAGGGGTGCGGCAGCTGGCATTAACCATTCATTTCTTATTTTTAATTTTAAAACTAAAAAAATACTTGAATTTGCAATTTAGTCCATCCCCATTTCTTATTCTTTCCGTCATCTCGCTCCGATACATGTATTTTTACAGTTGTTCCGATTGATGTTTTTTTCTCAAGCTTCGAAACCTGCATTGTTTTAGGGTATTTCTTTCCTAAAATGAAAATAATTTAAAAGAGTAAAAGATTTCACCATAATTGTAATATGAGTGTTTGGTCGATGTTGCATTATTTTTATTTCAATTTGTTAGAGTTTGTTCAACTAAAG